GCTTCGTTATCGCACATCATAAACCAACTGCTTTTCATTAAAAAGTAATTTTTATATGATTTCTGGCTTCTTAACACGCCAACTTTTCGGCATGGCGCGCCACGGCCGCAACTTTACCGCTTGCGTGTATCACCATATCGTCCATTCAGCCACCCACTCCACATTTGTCAATCATTTCGTTTTGTTGGTCTTTTAGCTTCATTGTTGTCATTTTTACAGAAAATGTTGGTTAATGTTTGGAATGGCGAAAGAAAGAACACAACTGAGAAATGCTTTTGGTTGCCATCAACTTGCCACAGTATTATGGCCTGGAAAAAATTATCTTTTCGCCGTTTATGACTTCAGCAGATGGCAAAATGTGGCCAAAAGGAGGTATGGAGTGACACAATCACTTAAATATGTATATTGATGGTGGTTAATAATGGCTAACATATTGATTCTTTTTTTCTTGATGAAGAAAAAAGCCATATGGTTTGAAGACAACATTTCTATTGAGGGGTAGTTGGGGTTAGTGTGTGGAAAAAGAAGAGAGAGGGGGGAGGTGGTTTTGTCATTTTTTTTGGATAGAGAGCAGCATGTGTGTAATATCACGAAAGTTTGGTTGTGTCATATTAAATAGTATATAAAAAAATTAAATGGAAAAATGTATGTACCCTCCACTCAAGGGGCCTCCCAACCATCCTACCCACCCAATTGTGTTGGAGATTGCCGGACAAAGCAGCAAAACAGGCCGATAAAAATTTCAGAGCATTAATGCAATACATCAAATCCGGCAACAAAAGAGATCTCCAAATTAATGGCTTGTTTGACAGATATGACAGACATATTTGGTGAACTTGAAAAGAAACGCCTTTACGGCAAAAAGCCATAAAACTACTGTAATGTGTTTCAAACACGTTCGATCAATTTTGTTGAGCACGTTTGCTGGGGTTTTATGGTGTATCAGCAGATATGGAAAATATAACTGTTAAGCTTTTAATTTTAAGTGGCCAATATACTTAGGCTGGGGCACACCATGTAACATCGTGGGGGAGCAATAGTCAAAAGCAGAAGTAAAAAGTCATTTGGATACTAATTTCTTGCATCCGATATCAAAACATATTTAGTTAGGAATGCATTTTGAATATGTAAAACTTGGGATTAAATAAATAGAAAACTTCGGCAGAAAGTACTAAATACAGGGTGAGATAAAAAACTGCAACAAAGTCAAACGTAATTATTTTTACATTTTTTTTTTAATTTTATTGAATGAAAGCAAAAAAAACGTCGGAAATAGCATCACATTTTAGAATAAGTTTAGATTTATTCCAATTGTTCATCTTTGGCACGAATTATGGTCTTCAAACGGCCAATGAAACCGTCACACGCTGCCCGAACGTTGCTCTGCGGTATTTTGGCCCATTCCCGGCGAATCGCTTGCTTGAGGTGATCGACACTTTGGTATTTTTTAGTGCCATCTTTGCTTTCTAAAATACTCCAGACACAATAGTCCAACGGATTGATATCCGGAGATTTTGGTGGCCATTGTGCGCTGGAAATGAAGGGAGGAACTTCATTTTGTAACCATTCTTGTGTGGCGCATGCTGAGTGCGATGGTGCTGAGTCCAGTTGGAATGTCCTAGGTCTGCGGCCAAAATGTTTGCGGGCTCAAGTCTTTAATTCACCCTCCAGAATATTTTTGCTATAATATTCGGCATTTATTCTATTCATTTATTCGGTCGATTAATACGAGCGAGTAATAGTTCATTATATTTTTTACAAGCGTACAAAAGCATTTTGGTGAGAATTTTCCAGAAAAATGGAATTCGTGATGGATTTCAGGCGTGACAATGTGATTTCTTTATATTTGGCTGGAAAACCACAAGTGGCTATCGTTAGAGCACTCCAGCATTTAAATGTGAATGTATGCTTTGTGTCTCGTGCCATCGCTCGTTACCTTGATACCGGTAGCGTAGCCCGGCGTCAAGGAAGTGGACGGAACATCGGCAGAAGTGGTTCGAAAAGTAATGAAGCGACTTGATAGAAACCCACGTCGCAGTGTCCGAAAAATGCCTCGTGAGCTGAACATATCGTAATATTTCATTCGGCAAACATTGAAAAATGAGCTCGGGGTAAAACCATTGAAATCCCAAAAGGTGCAACAACTTACACTGCAACAGAAAGAAAATAAACTCAAAAGAGCTAAAGAGTTGCTTCGCTTGTCCGAAAATGGTGAACTGCCAAATTTGGTTTACTACAGTGAGAAAACATTCGTTGTCCAGCAGTTTGTAAACAAACAATATGATCGTGTTTACTTGCCAAAGATATCAGCTGAAAATGTGAACCTTATGTTGGCAACCAGAATGGTGTGGGCCGCCATAATAGCCAATGGTCCCTTTCCGCTCATATTAATCGACCGTGACATCAAAATAAATGCCGAATATTATCGCGAAAATATTCTGGAGGGTGTATTAAAACCTTGGCCACCAAAATTTCTGAATAACATTCCGTTGGGCTATTGTGTTGGGAGTATTTTGGAAAGCATGCTTGGCACTAAAAAATACCAAAGTATCGATCACCTCTTGCAAGCGCTTCGCCGGGAATAGGCCAAAATACAGCAGAGAAACATTCGGGCAGCGTGTCGGTTTCATTGGCCGTTTGAAGGCCAAAACTCGTGACAAAGGTGACCAATTCGAACAAATCAACACTTATTTTAAGTGTCGAGGTATTTCCGATATTTTTTTGCTTTCATTCAATAAAATTAAAAAAAAATGTTAAAATTATGGCGTTTGACTTTGTTGTAGTTTTTTTTTTATCTCACGCTGTAACTATACCCCCCGATATTTGGTATTTTGATAATCCTAGTCACATTTACTCAATTATGGCGTTTGACTTTGTTGTAGTTTTTTTTATCTCACGCTGTAACTATACCCACCAATATTCGATATTTTCATAATCCTAATCACATTTACCCACATAATTGTTTCAAAATTTAGTATTTTAGAAGATTTGATAGATGACAATCCTTGAAGTTGAAAATTGCTTATAGAAGTACCCATTTTGGTATGGCCCCATATAACGGCCTCACTGGTCCTCCATATAACGACCTCTATGGGTTTTTAATAAATTTAATTGCATTACGCAAACAGTCTTACTGGTATATGAAGTTTAAAGTGAAACACGCTTGAATTCAGATATTTTTATTTAAAAATGTTTTCCTTACCCTAAGGTGAAGGGTATTGAAAGTTCGGACCGGCCAAAATTATTGTTTTTATACCCTACAACACTATGTGTTGGGGGTATTATAAGTTTGATTGGGTATTATAAGAATTTATGTAACACCTCGAAATATTGGTTTCCCATATAGGAAAGTATATATGGATCTTCCTAGCTCGCCTAGCTGAGTCGATCTAGCTATGTATGTCCGTCCGTCCGTCTGTCCATGTTAATTTGTAATCACTCTACAGGTCGCAATTATGGCCCGATCTTCACGAAATTTAAAATGTAGGTGGGGTTAAGGTCAGAATAGAACCCTATTTCTTTTGGAGATGATCGCCAAATGTTTAGTGGTTGAAATGGACCAAATACTGAAAAAATGTCGGATTTTGCAGTAGCTATACAGGTCGCAATTATAGACCAATCGACGCGGAATTTCGCATGTAGCTAGAGTTTAGGGCGGGGAAGAAGCCTACCAATTTGGGTGGTCATCGGATAATATTTAGCGCGTAAAATAGACCATATATTTTTTGTTGAAAAAATTCAAAATTTTTCATTAAACCGCGAATATTTTAAATCCCGGCGAAATCACAAAGCCATGACAAGGTTACTTCTGATCTTTACATTGATGTTAAGATCCAACAAATCGAATATATAGCAAAATATGTGCGATATATATGTCTATCAAAGAAGATATGCTTGAAAGATCTATTTTATGTCGAGAACGGCTGAACTGATTTCGACAGTTCTCATTAATTCAGATTGGCCTCTTGGCAGGGAAGAAAAAACGCCTAAAAAATCGCATAAAAATATCTCTCTAAAGATGAAAATATTGATTTTGTAAATTTTCTCATATTTTTTCAATTTTGTCACATTTTTGGCATATTTTCGTTTTGTAGTATTGTAGGGTATTCAATGGTCGGCCCCGCTCGACTGTAGCCTTTGCTTACTTGTTTTTTACTTGTTTATATCATTCCGTTAGTCCACTACAAAATATAGAATTTTGAATACAATTTAGTACTTTTCTTAGCCTTTTAGTACGAATTTCCAAATACCCAGCCTTATCACACTCCTACGCTTCGAGACTGTCCGTCGTGCAGAATTTCAACATTCTAGCTGCAGCCATTTCGTTTGTGCATTGATTCTCAGTCAGTCACTTATATTACTACTTTTTAAGGTATTAAAATTTACACGAGGCCGAAATTGCCTGGTGTTAGGTAAGAGAGATTGTTGAGAACTCCTCTCTCCCCCTCTCTCTCTCTCTCTAAAAAATTGACACTCGCGACACTTATAATTGCTTAACCTAAATGAGGTGCATCCCAAGCTCGCATTGTTTCCAATTTCCATAAATTTGCCATTTCATTTATTTGGGCTATTTTACCTTTAAAATTAACAACGTAGCCATAGATAAAAAAATACAATTATAACAAATAAATTTTTGAATTTTTTCAAATTTAATTTAATTAAATAAGGAAATTGGTATTATCAATCAAATGGATTTTCGTTTAGAGAAACATATTCACGGAGCTTCGCGGAGGAAACGGTAGCAAATGGAAAAAACATTAAATCATTCACTCCAAAATGTTCTACGCATATTCCTTCAATGCTCCAGAATTCCTAAGCATATTATTGAAATCTCTGAAGTTGCAATAGTACCACAAATCTTTGAACGAACTAAACTTTGGTAGTTGGTAACAGACTACAATTCATCTTCTTCATTTCCTTCACAATTTCCATTCTAATTAAAATGATTTTCTTTTTCTCTATAAACATATATAAACTTATCATCTTTTTCTTCTTTTCAGATTAAATTAAGAAAAATAAACTACAAACAAATTAACAACTATCAACAAAACTATCAAAAGAGTAGAGGAGTGGGAGCAGCATCATTTCAAATTGTTGGCAAAAATATAAAAAAGCTGGAAAAGAGGGACGAAAAAGAACCCTCTCTCTCTCGTCACGTCTGAGTTAAAGAAACATTGTAAAACTTTTACCCAAGCACAACAAAATCCATAGAAAAAGGATATCAACGCACACGCACACACAAAAAGAAGTAGAAGAACCAACAAATCTCTCGAAGAGGAAACAAATCTCTGGAAAAAGCGGAGTGGTCGGGAATATAGACGAAGTTATCATTTTTAATGGACTTACATCAAAATTAGCATCAAGAGAAAAAGAAAAACGAGGTAAGAAAAAGTTATTAAATTATTATTGTAGTTGTTGTTGCATTTTTTTGGGGTTTTCAAAATATTTCACCTAATCTAGAACGAAATTATTATCATCAACCTTATCTCTTATCGGCCAGACTTTGGAGTAAGCATAATTTTGTAGACAGCTTCTATTTTGTTCCACTTTTCATTCATATCTCGCAGCGACCTTTCTTTTTAGAGATTGTTGTTGGAATTCAAATTTAGATTTTATAATCTACGAGGGTCGCTTGGAAAGGTACTTTTGGGGAGGTCTTTTTATAGAAGACCTTTTGATTTTTTTTTAATTGAAAATCTCTTGGAGGCCTTCTTTTTTAGAATACCTCTTTGAAGGTCTTCTTTTTATAGAATACTTTTAATAGTGATATTATGAAGGTCTTCTTTTCACAGAAGACCTTTTGAAGGTCTTCTCTTTATAGAAGACCTTTTAATGGTTTTCTTTTTATATAAGACCTTTTTATAGTCTTGTTTTTATAGAATACCCTTCCGAGGTCTTCTTTTAATAGAAAACCTTTGTAAGGTTCTTTTTATATAGACGACCTTTGTAGATCCTTTTGAAGAACTTATATAGAAGACTTTTTGAAGATCTTTTTTTTTATAGAAGACCTTTTGAAGGTATCTTTTGTTAGAAGACCTTTGGAAGGCCTTCTTTTTATGGACGAGCTTTTGTAGATCTTCATTTTATAGAAGAACATTTGTAGATCTTTCTTATAGAAGTCTTTTTGAAGGTCTCCTTCTAGTGGAAGACATTTTCATGGCCCTCTTTTTATAGAAAACCTATAGAAGGCCTTCTTTTTATAGACGAGCTTTTGTAAATCTTCATTTTATAGAAGAACTTTTGTAGATCTTTTTATATAAGTCTTCTTGAAGGTCTTCTTGTAGAAGGCCTTTTCATAGTCCTTTTTTATAGAAAACATTTGTAGGTCCTCTTTGTATAGATGACTTTTTGAAGGCCATCTTTTGAAAGTTTTTCTTTTATAGAAGAACTTAAGACGACCTTCTTTTGTAGAATACGTTTGGGTGATCATCTTTCTATGGAAAACCTAAGGAAAGTTTTCTTTTTAGACCTTTTGACGGTCTTTTTTTATAGAAGACCTTTTGTTTTGAAAGGTCCCTTTTTACAGAAGACCTTTAGAAGGTTTCCTTTTTTACAGATGACATTTTGTAGGTCTTCTTTTTATAGAAGAGCTTTTGAAGGTCTTCTTTTTATAGAACACGTTTTAAAGGTCTTCATTTTATTTATAGACCTATTGAAGGTCCTCCTTTTATAGAAGACCCTTTGAAGGTCTTCTTTAATAGAAGACCTTTTGAAGGTATTCTTTTTATAGAAGACTTTTTGAAGGTCTTCGTTCTATAGAATTGGTCCACTAGGACTAATAGTCCTCTGTCTGTAGGATTTTAATAGGCTCACTGGGATTCATTTAGGTACCAGAACCGGATAAGTACTCGTCATATCAGGACCGAAAGGATTGCATAATTGAGATCTGGATAAGTACTCTAAGGTTTTCAAATTTCAATTGTGGGATGGTTCTTCAAAGCAACTTTTTGTTGAGCTATAGGTTGCAAGGGACTTTAGTAAGTACTCAAGCAGACTACAAAGATATTCAAGGCTACTATTGCTAGAGACCTTCTAGAAGGCAGACTACACGGATATTCATGGATATGGTTGCAGTAGACCTTAATAAGTACACAAGAAAACTATAAAGTTGTTGAAGGATGGTGAAAGGAAGTAAAGGAATGTCGAACGACTTCCACAAAATTCTTCAACGTAGTCTACAGGATATACCTGAATGTATAATTGAGACCTGGATAAGTAATCTAAGATTTTCCACGGATTCTGGAATGGTTCTTTAAAGCTTTTTGTTGTTGAGCTGAATGTTTTGGCGAGGGGGGAATGTAAGGAAATTCTAGGTATGGTTGCAGGAGACTTCAATAAGAGCTCAAGGGATACTCGAAACTATGGTTGCGATAGACCTTAATAAGCAGACTACGAGAATAGTCAAGGATTCAAGCAGGCTACAAGGATATTCAAAGCTACTGCTGCGATAGACATAAGTACTCAGCAGTCTACAACGATGTTCAAGGATAATGAAAGAACATACAGAGATTACAAAGGATGTCGAAGGACTTCCACAGTTTTTTTCAAAGAAGGCTGCAGAATATGCCAAGGTGTCTTCGCAAGGATGTTTTTTTTTTTCTTCAAGATGTCTACAGTATGCAAGGATGTCTGCAGGATACACAACGATGTTCTAGGATGTCCAAGTATCCGATTGACGGTTGTATCACTTACCTATATCGATTGCTGTTTCATTGGTCTGTCCCGATTCTGCATTCGTCCGCCTTTAATACGCGACTCCACCACATGTTCGCTTTTCGTGACAGAAGGTATGTGTTTTCTGTGTGTAGAAACTTTTTGGAAAGTTTCCATTCTATAGAAGACTGTCTACGGAAGACCTTAGGAAGATCTTCTGTCTGTGGAGGACATTTGTAGCTTTTCTCTCTGTGGAAGATCTGGGAATGTCTTCTGTCTGAATAAGAATTTTTTGAGGTGTTATGTCTTTTTGAAATTTCTTCTGTCTATAAAAGACCTGTGAGAGATCGTATGTATATAGCAAACATTTTGAAGATCTGCTTCTATGAAGAACCTGTTCATGGAGGACCTATGAGCTTTGCTGTCTTTTTGGTATGTTTTTTTTTGTTTTTGAATGATTTAGTATCTGCTGCTTAAATAAAATGTCTAAATAAGAATTTTTTGAGGTATTATGTCTTTTTGAAATTTCTTCTGTCTATAAAAGACCTGTGAGAGATCGTATGTGTATAGCAACCATTTGGAAGACCTGCTTCTATGAAGAACCTGTTCATGGAGGACCTATGAGTTTTGCTGTATTTTTGGTATGTTTTTTCTGTTTTTGAATGATTTAGTATCTGCAGCTTATGGAGGACCTAAAAGGTCTGCTGTCTAAAGAAACATTTTTAACATCTTTTGTTTGCCCATGAATCTAACGAGGTCCCCTTGAACCAGTCCTGAATATATTCTGTGTTGGATGTACTTTTAAAATATTTAGAAATCAAATAAACCACAATCTCATCACCCCAAAATGTTGAATATATTCTGTATGTCATGAAAAATCAGCCTTTAAAATATTAAAATTTGTTGCGCAGCAAATAAATGAATATCCACAAAACTTTAAAACAGACCACCCAGCTAGAAGATGATGTACCTTTATTAAGAATTTGTATCATCCTCAAATTGTTATGGGTGTTTGTTGGTTGAACTCCTACTTTCGTTCCTTTAAACCTGGGAGCCGGCGAAATGTGCGTAGGTTGGATGGCTGGTTGGCTGCCTGGATACCTTTTGTGATGGTTATGGTATATTTGACTCTGTATTCTTTTTGTTCTGATAGTGCGAACTGTGGGTTTTTTTCTTATTGTTGTTGTTGCTCCCATCTCGTATAGCCTTTTGTACGCCTGACAGTTTTATATTCCTGGACGACAATAGCAAATCTTTTTCTGTTGTGTTATTTTGGTTGCTCTTGTTGCCTGCCTCGGCCATGGTTATTTACTGCGGTTTTCAATGGCTCTTTGATGATGGTGTTTTGACTTATCTTAAAACTAAATGCTTTTGGTATCGAATCGTATACACCATGAAATGGAATCCAGCATCTTCTTTCGCTCAGCCGGGCAGCCACACACGCAGTATGTCCCCACAAAGGCATGTCTCATCTTCGCCATCATCATCCTCTTCATCCACATTTCACGTCTTTGCCAGGCCATAGTGTTTTCTTGGTCTTGTATAGGCCACACACACGCACCTAACACATCACATTCCATTGGATCACAAACCCTTCCTTCTCTCCACTCTCCTCTCCATCCCCACCATCACGTCTTAATGTTAATGAATTGTTGCTTTGTGTTGCCCTGTATTTGACTCCTCTTTTTTTCCTGTTGCTGCATGTGCTTATGTCGGTGAGTATGTGTGTTTGTGTTTAGTGTTCATTCCATAGCAGCTAGTTAGGTATTAAAGGATAGTGTTTCGTAAGCTTTTTAAGCCCCGGAAATGTGTGTTGCATAGCCTTTGACTTAGTTAATGAGAAGTATATGCAAAACAATAATGCCGTATCGCATTCGGATTTTACAAAGACTTTGTAATAGAGAGAGAGAGAGTTTGGCAGGGCGAATGAAAATTGCTTAGGAAATGTGTTTTTGAAGGCATCACATGATTTGATGCTGCTGTCGTTAGGATATCCAAAGTTGCAATTTTATGATTAGGATATTGTTTCAAAAGGCAATTCCTTATTATTCTGGTTTTTTTGGAGGTCCCTGGCAAATATGGAGGTCCTTGGTAAAGTGTTACAAAAATTTAATAGGATTTAGAAAAAGTTATTTTTATATATAATTCCCATCAAAATAATGGATTATTTTGTGGAAAATTTTCAAAGCAGAAGAATTCGTATACTCTATACCAAAAAATGGCCCCTTCTCACCCACATAGGGTCAAATAATAACAAACGTTCGAAGATTTGCAATATGAAAAGGGTTTTTAAATTTTAGTTTTTAGTTTAGTCACTTGGAGATAATTAAAATATTTATAAACAATGGAAAAATTTAAAATAAAATATTTTTGAATTCATGGGATATATTTCAAAAAACAAAAAATCATTCTCTGCTAATAAGTCCATACATCATCAAAATAGGGGGTGTAAATTAATATTCCTCGGAATCCGAGCTTTTTATGTATATACAGGGTGAGATAAAAAAACTGCAACAAAGTCAAACACCATAATTTTTACATTTTTTTTTAATTTTATTGAATGAAAGCAAACAATGTCGGCAACAGTATCAAATTTTAGAATAAGTTTAGATTTGTTCGAATTGGTCACCTTTGTCACGACTTATGCCCTTCAAACGGCCAATGAAACTGTCACACGCTGTTGCTCTGCGGTATTTAGGCCCATACTTCAGACACAATAGTCCAACGG